AACCCCGGAAATACACAGATGTTTTTAGGAAAAGAAGTAGGTTTGACTTTAATCCTGAATGTTTTTCAAATGTCATTCTCCTTGAGCTCCCTGCAGCCTTTCACACTGTGCAGCACCCTCTCCCTGTCGTTACTTTCTTTTCTACGTTCTTGGGACACCACTAGATTTTGGTTCTCCTCCTACCTATCTGACTGCTCCTTCTCAGGATCCTTTGCTGGATTTTTATCCAGGACACACCTTCTAACCACAGGGTTCTGTCCTAGGCTCACTTCTCTTTGCCCTTTATACCGTCATCACTTGGTGATTTTATCAGCTCCCATGGATTTAATTACCGTTTCTCTGCTGCTGATTTTCAAATATATCTATCCCTGTCTCAACCTCTCTGGGGACCCTTAATCTCATATCTCCAAATGCCTTTCAGACATCTCGAACTGGATGTCCAATATATATCTTAAACTTAACATGTCCAAAATGGGATTAATTTTTCTCTGTAAGTCCTCCCTCCACTCCTGCCTTCCCTCTAGAGTACCACACAATCCTTCCAGTCCCTTAGGTTTGCAACCCAGGTATTACCTTCAACTCCTCCCTATCTCTCACTCCCCATATCCAATTTGTTGCCAAGTCCTGTCAATTTTATCTTACAATTTATCTTGAATATGACTTCTTCTTTTCTATGATGCTGCCACCACCCTGGTATGGGTCCTCATCTAGTGGGATTTGGATGGCAAAATGAGATGGCCCCTAATTAACAGAGTTAAAGTCCAAGATGCCAAGAATCTTGCCTTTGGTAATGACATATTTTCTAATGGCTGCTAATATAAATTTGGATACTAAGAGCATTACATAGAAATGAATCATCATTTTCACAGAGGCTTTATTTTCAGAACCAGACCCAGTTTGCACACTAAAATATATTGTTCACATTTAATTCACCTTCTCACACTTGAACTACTGCAATAGCCTGCTGGTGGAGCTACCTGCCTCAAGTCTCTCTGCACTCCAATCCATGTTCATTTCAGCCTCTAACGTGATTTTCCTAACACACGTCTGACCATGTCACTCCCTTACTCAATAAACTCCAGTGGTTCCCTATCGCCTCTGGGATCAAATACAAAATGCTCTGTCTGGCTTTCAAAGCCCTTCCTACCTAGCTACCTCCTACCTCTTCTTACACACCTAACTACCTGATATGTACTCTTCAATGTAGTAACACTGGCCTCCTGGCTGTTCCATGATCAAGACACTCCATCTCTCAGCTCTGGGCATTTTCTCTGGCTATTCCCCATGCCTTGAATCCTCTCCCTTCTCACCTCCATCTACTGCCTTCTCTGACTTCCTTTAAGTCATACCTAATATCCCACCCTCTATAGGAAGCCTTGCCCACCCCTCTTTATCAAAATGTCTTTTCTCTGTTAATTTTTTTCCATACATAGCTTGTCTGCACATATTTGTTTGCTTGTGGCCTCTCCTATTAGATTACAAGCTCCTTGAAGGCAGAGTCTGTCTTTGGACTCTATATCCTCAAGGCTTAGCACAGTGCCTGGCACATAGTACGTATTTAATAACTTTATTGACTGACTGAATCCCTATCCAAAAATCTATTAAAAAACATGTCATCACATGGATTCAACTACTGTGAAAGAAGAAAAAGGAAACAAAAACTCTAACAAAGGCCACTGTAATGTACGGTATATGTATTGAGTACTTAGATGTTTACATAGTACTTTACATTTAGTATCTACTACTAAAAACAATCTTCTGCAAGGGTTATTTTATCCTTAGTACAAATGTTATCATCTCCATTTCACAGATGAGGAATCAGAGGTTCAAAAAGGCAAGGTCGCTTATTTAAGGTCACATAATTAGTAGATGCACAAACCAGGCCTCAAGCTCAGTCTTCTTCCACTAAGTCCAGTGTTCTAATCCCTCCACTGTGCTTTTTTGTATAAACTCCCTGAAGGAGCTGATTCACACTGTCAGAGACCATGGAATAGTGTAATATTTGTCTGTAGCAAAATGAAGGGAAAAAAAGAAATGTGGAAATAGTTTCACTGATAGGTATGTGACTATAAATGGGTGAATATTAATAAGATATATGTGTACTATGTATATGTGTGGATGACTATGTATATAAGCATGAGGATAGTCATAGAGAACTGTATGTATGAGAGGAAGTCTAGGAGAAAGAACAAACATAAATGTGGGGGCAGCTAGGTGGCAGTGGACCCAGCACCAGCCCTGGAGTCAGGAGGACCTGAGTTCAAATCCAACCTTAGACATATGATACTCACTAGCTGTGTGACCCTGGGCAAGTCACTTAACCCTGATTGCCTCACATAAAATAAATAAAGAAAGAAAGAATAAATAAATATGAAAATTGTTTCACTAATAGGCATGTGAGTGTGTGTGTAGTGCATGGAGGGTGAAGTTATATGGCATTAAAAAAAAAAGAAAGCAGAGGTAGGAGTCAATTGACCATGGTCCTAGTTCTGTATATGCCATCATTCTAATTAGTAGTTTGCCCATGGCAAGTTACTTAAGTGCTCTTGGCCTCAATTTCCTCATCTTCTAAATGGAGGCAATGATACCTTGGAACTGCATAGTTTTAAAAGAAGTTTTATACATCTCAACCTGTTTAACCTTCGTAACAGCCCTGTGACTTCATATTGGCTGGTTGCTGTCCTTTGTTCTCGAAGAGTACCAAAATGATGTCACTATGTTGGGGTCAAGGTACTTTGTGTCCGACTGTGGCTAATCAGACCAGTATGAGCTCAGAAGGCTTCACCATGACCCTGGCCATCAGAAGCCGGTAGTGAATTGCTCTTTCTACTTTACAGATGTGGCTGGTTAAACGTTTATCTCAAAATCAACTTTAGGAAAGTCACAGAATGTTAGGGCAAGAAGGAGCTTTGGAAACCTCATCCTACTCATGTCAGAGAGAATTTGAGAGAGGGGAAGCAATGTGCTCAAGATCACACAAATCAGTGTCAGAGCTAATACCAGAATCCTGGACCACGCCCTTTATAGTATACCATGATTCTACACAGTGTGTGGAAGAGAAGGTTCTCTAAGTTTCTTTCTAGCTCTAGACCCTATTATCCAAAGATCTTGCTTTGTAACTAAGCGAGCAGAGTTAGAAGAAGAGGAAGAAATCTTGGAGCACCAGCAGCTCCTTTCTCCTTTGTACTGAGAAAAGTATAGGTGAACTTCTCAGGTCCCTGAGTATATATTCCATTTTCCACTGGGATACTTTGATGTGAGCTATTTAAAATTACTTTACTTCACTAGGCATTTTAAAAAGCCCAAGCAGACTGGCTGTGTGGTGTAACAGAATTCAGCTCAATACATCTGAACCTAGATTTAAGTATGTTTCTCAAATAAATGCCATTCCTATGATACAAAGCTTTGCACTGAGTGCTGAAACAACCTCATGATGATATTATAACTAATGATCACAGAATCATTTAGTCTAGGTCAGAAATGGAAAAAAAAAAAGATGAGGTCACATCTACAAGGTTTGCTTAAATTCCTAGTTCAGTTTTTTTTTTTAAAGCTTGACCACCACTACCGCTTCCTTTTGTGGCAATCTTAAAAACTCCATGATTAGGAAGTTTTCCCCTCATATTAGGTATTTTCTTTTACTTAATTCCATCCATTACTCCTAGTTCCATCTTAGGTCACCTCTCAAAAATCCTCTTCTCTCTTTGGTTCCTCTACCCTTCAATTACTTGTAAATTATTATCATCGTTGCTTGTTTCCCTTTTCTTCCTTAAACTCATTCCATTGCACCAACCTCTTAGTCATAATTTGGCCAAACTATGGATTTTATATTTTTAATCTTTTCTTATAATCTTTCCCTCAATTTCATCAACTATTTAGATCCTCTTTCCAGCAATCCTGGGTTTGTCTAAATCTCCATTTGGGCTTTGGCAGAGCTGTCTATGCGGCTCTTCCTAAGTCAGGTCTCCTTTTGCAACAGAAGCACAGAGTTTTAATTTTATTTTTTGCTATTAAATGAAGAGAAACTCAAACTGTGCCCAGTATAGAAAATAAACTGTCCATGCAAAAAGATGTATCACACCCACAAACAGCATCCCAATTGTGAGCTTAGGAGGGATAGGACGTAGTCTGGTTATGTGAATAAAAACATTTACAATCACAAAGGTAACAGTAGCAGAACAACTATAGTTATATACAAAAGAAGTTGTTCTCATTGACACATTAAGATCTTGTATAATGAATGATAAATTAACTGGATCAAGAAAGGGAAAGAAAGTCATATCAGTTAATAATGTAGAAAAATATTCTTATGAGGCAGTAGGTCCTGTTCTATATAAGTTACTTCAATATATAATTTTTCCTCTAAACAGGGAAAATCTCAAAACAAAGGCTTCCCATGATGGCAGGTTAAGAAGCAAGTCCCAAGGTGGCCTTACAAATAAAAATAATACTATTCTTTGGGTGGATGAATTACCAAGTCTTTAATTTTCAACAAAAAAGTGCCTGGTCTAAACTTGAGAGGTGTACAGTTTGAGTACCCTTTAGCTTAGTTTGAAGTTGATCAAGAAAAAAATCTTTTCTTCTTCCAATATGAAGTCTATCACTTGGGAATAGGACATTTGACAGAAGTGATTATCTCCAATCTGATTTATTTTAGAATATAAAGCATCTCAGGCAATATTTGGATACATATAATTTTGGGGGAAAACACCCTATAAAAACTAAGCTTTGAGAAAAAGAAAATTTGGGCCTCACAAAAAACATAATTTGTAATTGAAAGAAAATAATATTTAAAAGAAAAAAAACTTTTTTGTCCTTCCAAAAAGAGACAAAAATGACTAAGTTTTATTTCCCAAGAGAATTATGCCACTTTTATACAAGAAAATTACAGTCGCCACAAATTGCTCTCAACAATTCCAGCGCTTCTTCATTTGACCACTTAAAAATCAAAGTTCTTTCAGATTATAAATATAACTTTTTATAACTCTGTTATTACGTACTGTGAATGGGGAAACGGGGCCAATCTTGTGGCCGTAGCGTCGAATGGCCTCTCTGATGTGGCTGGGCTGGATGGCATCGCTTTGAGCCTCGATACCACAGGCTGCCGTGCTCTGCAACAGAAAAATACTGCAAATGTTACTAAATCAAAAACACACAACAGACCTACAGTGCATCAAATATGAAAATAAACCTTTATCAAATGGACCACTTTTTTCCCCCTGAGGACACACATCATTGCTGCCACACACCATACCCCCCCCAAAGTTCCATTAACAAATCAAAGATGACTTTTATATGACCTCTTCCTAACAGACCCACCAAAAGCTATTTTTATGCTCTTAATATTTCACCTAGGACCAAATGTCAAAGTGCAGAAGAATGAACAGCAGCCACTTGCACTCAGATGAAAAAGTATCACAGGAGGCCTGCTGAGAGTACCACAGGAAATGGCTTTTTAAACGGTTTAAACTTTTGTTATTGTAATGATAGGGGGAAACAGTCCCTATTTTCAGGGGGTGTTTCAAAACTTGGGTAGGCCTTTGACATGATTTCAGTCCGGTCAGAATTAAAGTAAAAACCAGAACATTTTTAGGTGTGGTAGACCCAAAAGTATACATTCAGGGATTACTATTAAATTGTCCTTAATATTCTTTGCCTATCTGCCTAATCTGTAAAGTAGGGAGATGAAACATGTGAAAATCAAGAAGGAAGCAGATTTCAAGTAATGCAGGCAGCAAAGCTGCGTAACAGAGAGCCAGACTTGGAGACAGGAAGAAGTTGGAACCCTGTCTCAGACACTTATTAGCTATGTGAGCTGGACAAATCATTTAACTGCTTTGTGCCTCAGTTTCCTTATCTGTAAAATAGGGATAATAATGGCACCTACCTCACAAGGTAGTTGTGAGTATCAAATGAGTTTACATATGTAAAGCACTTCGCAAAAATTAAAACACTATATAAATGCTAGTTAATAATGAAGGATTAGAAAATTCTTATAATTGATGTAAGCATAGGAACAATCATACGTGATTTGTTTATAGAGGGCACATATTAAATGATAGTTGAACTGAATTTATTAATATTAAAATGACAAACAGTATCATGATGAATAATAAAAATCAGGATAAAAACCAGAAACTTTTTCTATTTTTGTACCGATAACACCAGGTACTAATCTACAGGTGACCAACTCTTTAGTAGAATATAAAATGTTGATTTTATGGTTGTAGTCTAATTGTATATTAGTTATTTTGCTAACTCTTAAGTTTGAGGTTTCAACCTCATTTTTAAAAGCTGCTTGTTACCAAAAAAAAGCCTATCTCCTTTATATAAATATTCTACTCGTGGTAATGCTATATGTCTGCAAATTATGGAATGCCATGACCCCCAAAGAATCAAAATCACAGGTGATCTAAAGGGCAATGGATAGACACAAAGAGTATAAATTAGTCACAGAATGCTACCAAGAATGACTTTTGAATGAGAAGTGGCATAAAAGATGTCACTGAGGACATGTACGACTGAAAGGGGTGGTAGGCTGGTCACATAAAGAGAATAAGAGACAATATATTTATAGCCTGAGTGTTGTACTGGTATGCAATAACATGTGAAAAGAACCAGAAAAAGCCCTCCACAACATTGGGTTAAACCTCTGGAGGATTCCTGGAAGGTCATGGACAAGATATACACAGAAAAGATGGAAAGGAATAGATGGATCGCCATTTTCATTAGTAGAGGAAATGAATACCCACACTACTGAGACTACAGATCTATTGAAGGATCAAAGTAGAGAAAAAAAATTGTTTTCAAGATGCCTCAAGAATTTACATATATTAATTGCAAATAAAAAGGCCTTATTAATTAATTTATTGAGACAAGTGCTTTTCATACTAGATGCTTTATAAACGTCCATTGCATGGGCTCCTTCTTCAAAAATCTCCATACTGCATCTTTAATTCTCTCTTCTTTTGCACCAATTGCTTACAAAAAAGAGGCCCTCCTCCTCATCAAGGAAAATACTTCAACCAGTGATCCTCATCCCACCCCTCCCCTATCCTCCGGCATTTTGTCATCACCACCACCACCATTGTCATCATCATCATCATCACCATCATCATCTCCTTCTGTATGTCTGTCCTTCATTTTCAATCTCTCCATCTCCACTAGTTCCTTCCTTGATGCCAACAAACGTACCCACAACTCTCTCATCTTTAAAGAAACCTTCATTTCCCCCTTTCACCTCCTTACTCTATCATTTTACATCAGTTTTTTTTTCACAGATGACCTCTAAGAAAAAGCTAGCTACACTCATTGCTTCAATTTCTTTTCTTCCCACTGATCACTGACTTCTTAACACTTTGTAATCTGGATTCTGACTGTATCACTCAAACTGACACTGCCTTTTCCTAGATTATCAAGGATCTTTTATTGCTAAATCCAAAAGTCTATTCTTAGTCGTCATTTTTAATGCCATGTTGGTAGCATCTGACATTATTATATAGGATTCTTCTCTTGGATATTCTTCTCCCTGATATTTTTGTGACAACAATTTTCCTACTTGTCTGATTTATTCTATGTCTTGTTTTTGATCTGTGATGTCCCCTCAAAGCTTCGTCTTGGGCTTTTTCCTACTCTATATATCCTCTCTCTTGTTGATATTACCAGCTTCCATGGGTTCATTTATTATCTCTATATACCCAGCCCTAGCCTCTCTTGTTGGACATCTATTATTATTACTACTAAAGTTAATGCTACTAATAATGATAGCAATTGATATTTAATACTGAGTTAAAGTTTTAAAGCATTTTACATAACATTATTTCATTTAAGCCTCACATCAACCTATGAGGTAGGTAATACAGGTATTATTATATCTCCCTTTTGGGTCAACAGTCCAAAACAGAATTAGTTATCTTTCCCCTTAAACTTGTTCCTCCTCCAAATTTCCTTATTTTTGTTGAGGCCACTACCACCAACCTTCTAGTCACCCAGGTCTTCAACTCCTCTCCTCCCAAACCCCTACTGCCAATCAGTTGTCAAATCCCTGAGTTTGCTTCCACAACAGCTTTTATATCTATTTTAATTACTCTATGTATCTGAAAATGATATAACCATATTTCTTTGAATTAGAGATTTTTGTTAGCAATAAAAGGAAAGTAAGAAGGTATACCTGAAAGAAAATGAATTTTATTTACAGAAGAGATTTATTACCATGACAGTACCACCAAAGACAGTTTTGGTAGATGGAGAAGTAAATAGGTATTAACCAAAAAAATTTTTTTAAAATTAAAAAAGCATTCTCTGAGAGAGACAGGAGGTAGCATGTGCCAGGCAAGTCAAACCACCTCAATCACCACTCCCCACGAGGCCCTGGTAGGGACAGCCTAGGACCCTAAGTGTAAGAGCCCCAGGAAAAGCAGAGCCCACTCCCATCCTAATCATTTACCCTGCTTCTAGCATGGCCCTATCAGCCTTTATTGAGGGGAGCATCCTTTGTGGAGAAGGGACCCACTATTCTCACCATCATCAGCAAGAACTGGGGACTAACTGCTGCTGAAGGACAGTTAAGCCTAAACGCCTTTGGAGTAGTAATCTTCCCTCTTTCACCCACTCGCCTTGTTTCCAGCCTTGCCCCTATAGACACAGTTCTGGGAAGCAACCCTTGTAGAGATGCAACCTGGGAACTTCCTCTGCAGATGCCGCAGTCCTCACTTTCTCAGCAGCTACAGCTAATGAAGACCCAGAAAAGAAAGTTCTTGCCACCAAAGTCCTAGGCATTTTCAAAAAGTTTAACATAAGAAACTGGTATGGTTATATCAATAGAAAAGCCATTAAAAAATGATGCAATACCATCTACTTTGCTCCTGCATTCTAAGGACCATGGGACCCTATCCATTTGACTTGTAGCTGAATTCTCCTATATAGGTGTGGGCTCCCTCTAACAGAACATAAGCTTTTTGAAAGCAGGGACTAGAATGAATTTCTGTTTTATCCCCAGTACTGAGCACAGTGCTGTGCACATAGTAAACACTTAATAGTTTTTAAAAATTCATTCAGATTGCTCATTTTGGTTCAGAAAATCTCAACTATAGCACATAACAGAGCATCTTCTTTGCAGGTTTAATAGCTCTAAGAACCCCAGTGTTCTTAGGTAGGTCATGGGATTTAGATACTTCAAGACTAGAGAATTATCCAGTTTAATCTCCTCATTTTATACTTTAAGAAGTTGAGGCCTATAAAAGGAAGTGACTTATTGAAGGTCTTACAGGTAATAAGGGACAAAGGTGAAATTTGAATTAAGGTCTTCTAACTCCAAATTCAGTGCAATGGCCAATACACAGTGCTGCCTCTGTTTAACTGACCTTCTTCCTCTTCCTTTGCTTTGTTTTAGCCGAGTCTTGTCCAACATTCCCGTTCCCCAAAGTCCCTGATTGGTTTTTCCCTGGGTGTTGTGGTCCAGATGTTGGAGCAGTTGGTGTAGGAGGAGGCGTGTTTTCAGGGGAATCAGGGCTGGATTTCATGCCAGAACTCGACCCAAAGAGATGTGGCTGTAAAATCAAGAGACCAAGTTGGCTGCTTAAGGAAATTCAGCAAAATGATTTATGAATTTGATGGTAATTTAATCTAAAAATGAAAAGACATGATTTATTTTCATATATATATTCTCAGGATATTCCTATTATTTAAAGCAGGAAATGATAGCCTATGCAGGTCTATGGATGTTAGTTTTTAAGTCTGGAGAAAAGATCAGGATTGTTCTAAAACTCCTGTTAGTGTTTCAAGCAAAGCATGGCCCTCTATCTCTATGTGAAAGTCCTGAAATGGCCTCCAAATGCCTAAAACTCAGTATGTCTAAAGTTGAATTCATTTCCTCAGCTCTGACCCTTGCCAAAATTAAGCTTCTTTTAAATACTTTCCTCCTTCCATCAATGACATGTATTATATTATTCTCCTAGTGATTCAAGTGGTACAGTAGATAGAATGCTGGGCCTGAAGTCAAGAAGATTCATCTTTCTGAGTTCAAAACTGGTTTCAGTCACTTATTAGCTGTGTGGCCCTGGGCAAGTCACTTAACCTGTTGCCTCAGTTTCCTCATCTGTAAAATGAGCTGGAGAAGGAAATGGCAAACCACTCCAGTGTCTTTGCCAAGAAAACCCTAAATGGTGTCACAAAGAATTGTAAACGACTGAAATGACTGAACAACAACAAAAAGTAATTCAGGCTTAAAATCTTGCAGTGACAGGTGTCTAGCTGGAAGGCGTCTAGAAATTATCTATGCCAACACCCTTCTACTGCCAGACCATTTTACATACATGCAGGACACTCTTGACTTCTTTTTTGCTCCATAGCTCCTCTGTTGTCAAGTTCTGTTGATTACTTTTTTCATAATGACCTTTGCAGTCTTCCTTCCCTTTCTATTTCTACTATCATCCCACGAGCACTGGCTCTTTTTAGCCTCATTAGACTAGTACAATAATCTTCCTAACTGCTTGCCTCCAATATCTCATTGCTCTAATGTAAACTTTCAGAATGTCAGCAACGGAAGGGACTTCAGAGGTCATCTAGTTTAATCTGTATTCCAAAAGCAATTTCTTCTACAATATCCCTGACAAGTGGTCACCCAGCCTTTCCTTGAAGACCTCCAGTGATGGGGAACCCATTACCTCCTAAGACATCCCATTTTACACTCTGCTAGATTAAGTTTCTTATAACACCATTTTCTCATCATTCCAATCCAAAACTTTCAGTGGCTACCCACTCCATATGAAATAAAATTCCTATGAACCCTTCATTTCAGTCAAACTGGCTTATTCTCCTCCAAATTTCTAGGTCCCACTCTCTTTCTAAATCTTTGAACACATAGGCAGGCATTTTTACTTGGAATATTGTCAAGGAACGGGTTCCAACTCTTGTATGAGATAGATATTCCTGACCCACTGCAGTCTACTATTCCTGCTCTGAACACCCTTATCACTGTGTGTAAGACTCTATGTCTCACAGGGTTATAATAAATACATGTGAGCTGTTATTAATTATTCAACAGGTACTTACCAAACATCTACTCTATGCTAGGTACTGTACTAGGTTCTATGGATGTACATGGAAAAATAAAATAGTCCCAGCTCTGAAGACATGTGTGTGTGACAGTGTGCATGTGTGTGAGGGGACCAGAGGGTAGGAAATGATATATACATAGAAGATTAAATATAAAATGAATACAAAATAATTTCTGGGAGAAATGGAATAGCAATTGTGGAGATGGGCTAGAAAATGTGGATATTTCCTGTAGGAGTTGGCATATGACCTGAACTTTGAGGGAAGCTATGATTAGAAGTGAGAAGGTAGAAGTAAGAAGGAAGTATATTCCAGGACTGGGGATAGCTTGTGCAAAGAGAGACAGAAACAGGAAATGAAATGTTGCACACATGAAAGAGCAAGTGGGGCAGTTCATCATCATCATCATCACCAATAGGAATATTTTATTTAATACTATTATTTAGTCTATTATGTATATGTCCTGCTTCTCCAACCAGGCTGTCAACAAGGATTATTCTAGTATATGATATTTACTGTAGAAGCCCAATAGATATTTGCTTGATTATGGTGGCTGGTTCACGCTAGTCACTTAGCATTGGGGTCCAAGTGGGAAGAAGCACTCTGGTTCTCTGTATAACATTCTCTCAATCAACAACAGTAATTAAAAACCAGGGCAAAGAAGAACCTTGGTGAGTAGGAGGTGGGTATTCCATTACTAATCAGATTCAGCTATAGTGTTCCTTGATCCTTATGCCCTTGCTTCTCAGAAAGCCCACACTTTATGCCTCGGAAATCAGTCTTCATAGGGAAGCTTTTATCAGCTGCTGTGTAGCTGGAAACAGTTGCTGTGGTAGTCAAACAGTTCCCTAGGGCAGCTTGGCTTATGCCTGGTTGGCCACCTTGGAGAATCAAGAAAGGAAAAAAATGAAGGGCTGTCTTCAGCATTTTCTTGGATGCAAAGTAGAGAATGTTATGTACACTACATTTCTTCAATTATAAATGTTATAACATATTGGTATGATGTTAATGAAAAACATACTTAGGCATGTATTCATAGAGCATACGTATATCAAAGGCATCTTAAGGAGTGTTTATTGACATCAAAATTGTGTTTTTTAACATCACCAAAATGAATGCTACTCAGTAAGCAGGTAAGATTTAGAGTGATCTTCAAATGCATTGACTGAGAGATGCTTAGTATGATTTTTTTCCACGAAAAAAATAGATTTGCAAGGGATTTGTTTTATGATCTAAATTATTAATTTAAATCCATTTCTTTGATTTTTCCTCAAACAGACTTTCTGAGGAGCATAAACATCCTGTTGGGCTGGTTGTACAGTTTGGGGGCATTCCTAAAGTGTAGCAAGAGCAGGTATCGCTTCATAGTTTTAAAGTACCCTGGGGAATAGCTGAGCTTCTCAAGATACCATCCTCAAGCCAGAACTTGTGCTGGGATGTTGACATGGAGTGGCTAAGGCTAACCTTGGCATGATCATGATGGTTTTTTTGGTCCTTTGGCCACATGTTTTTCACCTTGCCTAACAAGAGAGATTAATGTGCCCCTAGACTGTTGACATATTTAGCCTTGAAGCAGCCAGGAAAGGGGATTTAGCTGCTCCACAAGCAGGCAGGTTTCCAACACTCCAGATGCATCTACTACAATAGAAGGAGCCCTCAAAACTGCTGAGAAGATGAGGGTTTATTGATTGTATGCAAGGGGTGGCAGGGTAGGGACCAAAGTTCCTTGCTATTTCCCCAAGAACTAACATAGCTTTTAGAAACTAATCAATTCAATGCAAATCAATTCCAAAAACCATAAACAAAGCACCTACCAGGTGCTGGGCACCATGCTATGTGTTATATTGAAGAATGTCCACATCTCCATTAACTCAAATTTGAGCATCTGCCTTGGGGATGTGTAAAAAAAAAAAAAAACAACCCCCCCCCCAAACTTTAACATTTAAACCAAAGACCTTGGTAGCTAACAACAAACACTAGGTATTCAATGTATGAAGACCATTGTACTATATGCTGGGAAAAATATAAGGGTGGTACCTGCTCTAATGGAGCTTAATAGTTAATAATAATATTAGCTAACATTTATTAAGGTTTGTAAAAGTACTTCACATGTAATATCTCCTTTGATCCTGAAAATAACCCCAAAGCACTAAAACTCTCAGATCTTTTCCACAGGAATTATTATTATTGTCTATCCAAACCTTCTCCATCTTTTATTTGTCAAATTGATTTTTAAAAATATAGTTATCCCCAGTAAATAGGGATTTGGCCCACTGTCTTAGCCTGTTGTAGTTTTATACAGGTTCTGCAATCCTATGTGTTGGCTATTTCTTCAAGCTTCATGTCATCTGCAAATTAGACAAGGAAACTACCTATCCTTCAGACAAGATGTGAATAAAAATGTACATCACAGAGCAATGGTGGAATTCAAATATATTTTAGCTAAAATATTCTCTTGATTTAATAATCTAGTGAAGTTACCTGTCTATAAGGGAAATGAGGTTAATCTAGCATGGCTTGTTTTTGATGATACCATGTTAGTTCTTAGCGATGACTGCTTTCCTAAGTGATCACAAACCACCTCCTATAATGTGTCCTAGCATTCTGCTGGGAAATTGAAGTCAAAATTACTGGTCTATAGCTTGAGAGTCTACCCTCTTCCGTTTCCCTCGGCAATACTGGCACAACATTTGCATTTTTCCATTCCAGTAGCACGTCTACTGTTTTTGAGATCTTTCTAAGATTACCAGTAATGACTTTGAATCACAGCTGCCAGTTTTTTCAGTACTATGGGGTGAAGTTCATCTGAGCCTCAACACATGGAGGGCAATAAGACACTGACTGTCTCTTCACCTATTTTGGGTTTCTACTTTTTGTTTAACATGCTTTTCTATCTTTCCCAGACATCCCTTTTCTTGGTTGAGAAGGTAGAAGTACGTAGTTTAGCCTTTTCAACGTTGTATATTATCATCATCCAATCACACTGAAGATAGTACGTCTTTTTAAATTATCTTCTTGCTCCCAAAATCAACTTTAAAAAAAGAACCACCTCTTTTCTCTGTCCTCAGCCTCAGCTCATCTTCTGGGCTTTACAGCCCACACTACTCTTTTATACTATCTTTTTTATTCTTATTTTTTAATGATTTTTATTTTGAAATTAACAAACATCAAATGAAATGAACATTCCCATATACAAACTAGAACAGGTAAAAAGACTGTACATGGAACTAAAGATCTCTATTATGTACAGATTGCTCTTCTTTTCAAGTATATAATAAATTCAACCTGTAGCTTTCAAAGCTGTCCTAGTTGTCTATGTTACTTTCTAGACTTTCTCCTGTTCTCTAGATGAAAAAAATTCTACTGATCTTCTTTCCTTTCCTCTGTTTTATTTTATTTTTTTGCCCCCATTCCTATTCCCTTTCATTCTCCCTGCCTTGCCAAAAGGAAAATAAAAACACTCTTGTAACAAATATGTTTCTATAGCATACAG